CACGCTGGACGCGGCGCACAATGACGCCGAGCCACTGGCCACCGATTTTCCGCACGGTTCATGGCTATGGACATGTAGAGGTGGCATGGACATGGGACAATTTGTTTGCAGTGTTTTCATGGAAACACCCATTTTTGGTGTATATAACCAGGTGTGTTTTTGTCTTCTTCTTTTTTCCAGGGCAGGAAGTACGTTCGGCAGGGGTGAGAGCTGTCGCATGTTGTTGCGCAACTCCGTTTTTTCTCACTTTGTTGCGGGTTGATTCATTCGAACTCATCCTCGTTCAGCTATTCGCCATTGTCTTGCCTTGCTGAGAATTGCAGAATTGGTAATGTCAGCACATGATAAATAAAACGCTTCTGATTAAAGACGCCCGGTTTGCCCAGCCGACTGCCAGCCAAAACTACTTCAAAGGCACCCGCATGGTTTGGCCAAAAGACCCCTCTGTTGGTTTGGGGGGCCACCTCCCAACCCCCCCTCTGACGAAAGACGTCCATTTCCGGCCCAAAATCAATCAATCTCGAACAACACAATTTTAGATTGCCGAAGCTATTGCCAGTACTTTTGCCAATGCCAACTCCTTTCATAGTCTCAAGGATTGCCATTCCAGAAAAACAGCCAGCCGGGAAAAGCAAAGTTATTCTTACAGTTTGTTAAAAACACAAGGTTTGAAAAGCTCGTAAAGGGTACCCCCCTTCAAGGCTGGCCGCCGCGACACACACACACACACAACCCCTTGATTGCTGTAATCCCGACCCTCTCCAACCCTGGCCTTTACTTTCCTATTGCAGTCTTATTGGCCAGAGGCCAGGCCAGACTCATTAATGTGAGGGGGTGAGGAGGACCTTCCAAATCCGGTTTTCCAAAAGCTTGTCGACCTTGAGCGGGGGGGGGGGGGGCGGGGGGCTTATTAATCATGTTTCCCCACTACACAACGATGCATGGTTGGGCATTTCGTCCTCCGTCAGGCTACTCAATTGCACACCGCTCGACAAACCAAACATACACGCAGGGAGGTTTGCGACAGAACTGCGCTGGACATTCGGTTCCACGAACGGTGCATGAAGCTTTGCTCAGGCTTCGTATGGCTGAGGGCCTTCGGAAGAAGGCTGAGTATGCCGCACGGCTTTGGAAGACTTATGGGTAGGGTGCTTTGGGGGGAAGGCAAAATGACCGCCATGCCGGACGTTATTATGAAAACTTCCAAACCGCGAATTGCCCGACGAAGATCATCCTTCTCAAGGGCCTGGGAGCTTCTATGTTAGCCCGAGGAAGGGCAGATTCCGTGTTGAGTATCTGCTTTCAGGCTACCCCCTGAGAGAAGATACTTAATTGCCCCAGAAGGTGATATTGTCGACAATGCTTTTGGTCTGTAGAGTGGGATCTCGACTTGAAGAATCAGACAGCTTGCCCAACGCAAGGGTAGGCTCATGACAGAAGCGGCAAAATTTGTTTGCCCTGGATGCTTGTCAGGTGAAAAGATGCATTCCAGGCGAAGCGATCCTATTCTGCCCCGTGCAATGTCCGTGTTTCTGGGCACGCCATTCTGAAGAAGCGTTTATTTGGCGGCGCAAGAGGTGTTGGAGTTTCGCATAGCAGATGAAACCATTCAAATTTGCCAACATTATGGTTTTCTTGCAGGGCCAGAGTGCTCCTTGCTCCTGTTAGGCCTGCACTACGTGGAACACGTACTACACGGCAGCCACCTCACTTAGGTCGAGAAGCTGGCCGGAATTTTCCAAGCCATCGATGAGACAGGCGACGGCCTGATCACAGAGGAGCGACTAACGTTCCTGAGCTCAGGGAAGTGCTACTGTATCTTGCAGTGGCTGATGAGTCTGTGACACTTTACACGTTTTTTTGGGGGGGCACAAAAGTGGGTGGCTAGTTCAAGGAGTGAAAGCCAGGATTGTGACCCCTGACTCGATGCCACCTGCACATTGCGACTAGTGGAGTTGTCTTTTTGCACTGCATGCCCAGTCATCTTAGCCAAGCTAGCTGATCCTTTCCCTAGGAATACACGCGCCCTGTTCTTTTTGCAGGCTCAATATCTCCCAATGCCAAACTTAGGCAATACCAATCAATTCTAAACTGCAAGATTTCCTGCCGACCCCACCTTCAGTCGCACTAGAGATGTGGGGGCTCTCCGATGGCTCTGCCAAACAATTTGCATGTCAATTGGAAAATCAACTTCATTTTAGCTGTTGCATTCTAAATTTGATTGGATAATTTCAAAAGGGGCCTTGAACGCTTGGTTCCATCTCAATTCCTTACTAGGGAGATTACGATTTTGACGGTTTTTGTGCCCTGCAAAGGGGGGCCATTCAAATGAGAACTGTAATGGAGACTTCCTGGGATCCTAGTGCCCTACTAGGCAATCTTGTTCTGCCCAGAGGGACATTTTCGTATGGGTATTTGTCATTGGGAAGTGATCATCAAGAGGGGTTGTTTGTGTGTGTGTGTGTGTGCTTCATGATGCTTTTGTTGCAGCATGGTTCTTCAGTTGCCCAGGTTCATCCTTGAGAACCCGAAGGTGAAAGCGTATTTCCAGACCTTGGATGTGGACGTGCACGAAGGCACACCGACCCGTGAACAATCCAAACACCGATGCCCTCAATGGTTTCCGATTTGATTGGCTCTCTTTTCTTGAAGCGATGGACTGGCTATTTGGCATGGTTGCGACGGTTTGCAGTTCATGTTCAGCCCAGTCATTAGCTTGCAATGAGGTACTGTGTTGAGATGCCTTTGATATCCATTGCTCTTTGTGGCAAATGAGCCTTCAGCAGTCAATCGAGTGTGCTGTTGGCACGCCACGACAACTAGCCTCTTCAATCCGACGCCCCGTAAGGGCAAAGCTGGACTCCCCAGAATGAGCTCCACAGATATATTGCGCAGCCTTCAGAAACGGGTTTTGCATGGCAAGTGCACTGAGGCAAACGAATTACTGGGCATACCAAAGATTAAGCATATCAATGTACCTATTGAAAACACAGGGACACCAAAATAAATCCAAGAACGAATAGACCCAATCCGTGCCTAGTCCGTGCTCGTTTCGCAATTAGGCAATAAGAACAGGCAACCAGTCTTTTAGCATTGCTGCTCACCAAGATGCGGGAGAGAGACTGCCACGGTTTGATTTATCACCTTGTGATACAATTGTGTTTGATGACAAATATATCATATTTTGCTTGAGCGGAATGCTAATTCAGTATTGGGACAATACTAATTTAGTATGGGGCCAAGAACGTTCGCATACACTTCATCAGCGTTTGGTATGAATGAAAAGATACTGGGATTATAGAGAGTTGTTTGGGTCAGTGGGAATCAGCTTAGCTGTGTTTGGAAAACAATTTTTGAATAGCATCTTCTTATTCGCACTACGTAAAAGAGTAGGAGCAAAAGACAGCGTTGAAGGAGATAGAGAGAGGTAGATCATCAATGATGTGTACGAAGACTTTTAGGAAACAAAACTGCATATAAATGACAGTCCACCAACATATTAGTATTTTGAAATAACTGATGATACAATGGCATCGGAGCACAACATTGCTTACACTAATATGAGATGCTGTGCTGTCTGAAATGACACAAGAGACCGATGAAGCATAAATGCAAGTATGTAGTAGGATATGCTTTAGTTGCCAGAAAATACGTTGAGACACCAAAAGTAAATATGGATTTGAAAGGTATAATTATGAACAATGAAGATGAATTGGGATAACAAATACCGTTGCAACATGTAGACGAAGACGACCAATTTACATTGTTGATGCTAATTTGCAGACTGACCGGGAGCAAGCGCAAAGGGAAGCATCATTCATGAATACAACTTGCCTTTTCTATCCAGAGAGTGGCTGTGGTACAGAGTCACCCGTTGTGTCGGTTTTAGGAAAGTGATTCTTTCAATAGTGATGAGTTTGATAGTCACATGGACCATATTATGATCATGATATGTTTTGAACACAAAGTGGAGAATTACAAAATACAGGACCGCTGTGCCCAAAGAGAAATTCATGAAAAATAATGCATGCCTGCTGGATGGAGCTGATCACAGTTTAGAACCAGATGCGCAAAGTGTAATACTCACAACACTGGGTAAACTGTGTAGTATTTTCACCTGTCAGTGCGTTGATAATTCAATCGCTCGCATATAGATAACTTAACTTCATTCTGTGTTTATTGCAATGTATCAGCACATTAAGGTTTACAGGAAGGATAAGTTAAGATCAATGGGGATGGATAATAAGTGTCAGAATGGTAAATTCTATCAAATAGTCATATTAACTCTACATGTGAATAATTAAGCCAGAGCATGGCGAGACACTGAAGCGCATACATGACATGCTTAAAGGGCGGTGTTTCAATCACTCGGTCTTTTGAGTTATTTGATGAATTCGGAACGGATAACTGTAAAACTGAACTTGTTGAATACTACTCATGTACGTAGTACCAAAGAAAAAAAACGGGTTTACATTCACAGTACAGCCTGTATGAACAAAGCTGTGGCTGGAAGAACTTGTAAAGAATACTGTGAACAAAGCAAAGAAGAATGTAATGCTGCCACAAAACACTGCTGGATTATAAACCGCGGTGAAAGATCAAAATAACATAGAGGGAAGTCCTGGCAAGACCAATCACAAAAGCACTTCCTAAAATACAATGTGGATCTGGCACATACTCCACATACACACACACACACTGGAGGACATGACCTATGTAAGCAGCAACATCAAGAATGGTTGAAGCAACAAGGTTGACAAGATGGGCAATTAGAGGACTTAGATCAATATAGAGTCACCTTTATTGTGTGAGAAATAGAGATGATATAATTTCAACTGTTTATTCTGACCGTGCTGGTTATGGGGTCTAGCAGTCGAAACTTAACAGAAGCAAGAGTAAACATAATATAGATGAATGGTTTTCGCCAAAAGCATTTGATGATTTTCGAGCCGAAATGTTTTGTTTTTTTTTTCCGTAAAAGACCTTGACAGCCAAAAACCAGAGACTGGGATGCGAATGATACGCCCATTCAGTAAGTATGCAGTGCCTATCACGTCAAAAGACGGACCAATCAAAGGGACCAAACGCGGACCTGGAAAGTCGGACCCGCCAGATATTATATCCAATGATGGGGTTGATGACTTGGGACGCCATGTCTTCAGCTAATATTGTGTCCATATCAGCTGGGTCCGACTTTAGGTCCAAGGCTGGCCCCTTTGACACGGCTACCTTGAAGGCTTTAAATAAATGGGAGAATTATGGAGAGTATGTTTACACGGAGGAAGCATCATGATGAACTTGCTAACAGGACCTTCTTGCTTTGTGCGAGACTTTGTTATGTTTGCACTGGCTTTTTTGGACCGTGCGGGAGCCCCTTTTTCTCGATCCAAAGTGGCAGAGGTGCTCTTCTGGAGGTTTGAACCAGCTTTCTTTGCAGGGGATCTGCAGGCCTGGATCATTGAGAATGACTACCTGTGGCATCAGAAGACCTTTGGCGATGGGACAAACGTCCCATTGCACATGCCCGGTCAGAAACAGGAGACACATTGATGTGCTTCATGTTCTGGAAGGTGCCCAACGGTTGGAGCGGCACCGGGGTTTCCGACCACAGTGAAGACATGCTGAGTGCGGCACTCAGATGGGAACACATTGGCCGTACGCCCGCTCAGATGCAAGGCGTTCTGGGAGTGCAGCTCAGCATACTGGAGAATGCGGAACACCGGCTTTCCAAAGGACGACTGACACACTTGCCGCTCCTGTTCGTCCAACCTCGTCCCGGCCGAGCCTTGGCCTACGGCTGGCAAGATGCCGACGAGGGAGGTGACGGCTTTTACCGCGCCCTCGTCTCGGCCCGCCACACCGCATGATGGAGCTGAGCGCCGGGCTCCGCCCTCAAGCTCGAGGCCGCAGCGTCCCGCACGCAGGTGTTACGCGCGTCGGCAAACACTTCGACCACTTCGCTCAGCTGTGATGCTAAGGAAACCCCCGGCATGAGGGTCCCACAGGCTGGCCGAGGATGTCAAGGGCGAAAAGACTTCCTTTGGCGCCAAGCCGATCCGATGTGGGGCGTGGCGGCTCTTCACCTTGGCTGACACGAAATGTTGAATGTAGGCTTTGCAGGTTGTGGGCTCAAAAAAGGAACAAGAAGATAAGATGCGTGTAATTACCAACAACACACACATACATATATATATATATAGATGTACTTGTGAGAGAATGAATGATACAGAAAGCTAGAGTAACATGTATACAATTGAAACTTTTGATGGTTTAGAAGGAGCAAAGCAACAGGTATCAAGCAAGTATATGCGTAAATGTTTCATGTTGAGATGGAGCGTGCCTTCAGAATCACTACCGATTGCTATAAGGCAGAACCGTTTGAGCAATGTCAGATGCGACACATGTGACACATGCGCATGTAGCGCCGCACGCAGTGCGTCTGGAAGAGCAAGAAAGCTGCATGCTATGACTGCCAAAATACGTGTCTCCCGAGTCACGGTTTGCAAATGGTGCATACCCTGTTAAACACAGAGTCAGTTGGTGCAAGGTAAAGTTGGTCTGCCAACATAGCCTGCAACGCATGTCGTTGGATGAATACATTGCTCTATTGACCTCTATTGCGAGGCTGTTCTGATCCAGCCAGGCGCCGCCTTGTTCCACATTTTGGACGATGGTGACGGAGAGTGCACGTTGGAGGAGTTCATCGGAGGCATTTTGCGGTGCAGAGGGCCGGCAAGGGCCATCGACCAGGTTGCTATGATGGCTGCGCCCTGGGCTGCACATGTGCTTTCCACATGGCCCGGCATGTCATGGCATGGCACGCGCGCGACAGGAAAGATCTGCTTTCATTAGTTTTCCCATCATCAAATCATCAGGAGCAAATCACCGCATTCTGTGCTTTTGCTGCCACAGCCGGCCGATGCTTGTTTAGAGCCGACCAGATGCCCAAATGAGAAAATAGCTGGCAATGCACCCCAACAAACAAGGCGTATGCATGTGATTGAATTTAGACCCTCCTGCTTCAAACGCGATAAACAACTTTAATCTATGCGTATCATTTGCATGATGCTGTGTATCATCGTGAGATATCAGTCACACACTCACATCGTGATTTGCACTTCGCAGTTCGGACCTGCCTTGGTTACTGCCATGCCCCGCTGGCCTTCGCCTGCAAGCGCTCCACACCGCAATATGCATGATGTGAGGATCTGAAGCAGCTGGACAAAAAGATTTCCAAGATTGTCAAAGCATTGGTTAGTGCCAACTTGCTGACAGAGTCTTGGCATGCATGTGGGCGGTGTGTTGTCGGGTTTGGCGCATCCCTGCAATTTGAGCCGTGGGGATTCATCTTCAGCCGCAAGGTAGCAACATGTAGCAACAATAACTAACTACTCCAATTTTGCTTTCCACCAATAGACCGTGACAAATTATGTCTTTTCCCCCGTTTTGTGAATTGAGGTGGCCCCTTAAAATGGTCAAGGTTTCCCTTTTTGGTGAGCTCGGTGAGGTGAAGTGTGGCTCGCCGGTCCAGGGCCAGTGGGCTTCTGTTAGCTTTGGTCAAAGGCTGGACTGGCCAGATGGTCTTGGCTTATTCGGCTTTTGTGGGTGGTTAAAAAGAAGGGGCACCGAAGCCCGTTTGAGGGGTCCACATTCCTTTGACACAAACTAAGAGTCGTCAACCGCGTCACACACACAAGACACCAGTACGAAACAAGCCACGATGTACGAAGGCAAAAATCGGAAACCGCCAAGTCTGACAATGAGATCAACTTTCTGTGGATGATGACTATTCCCGAACATGATTCTGCGTGACTGAACAAAGGCACATTGATTGAGGCACTGGGGCTTTCAGCGGGCAAATTCTCTGCCACACATTTTGCATGTTGGAGGGGTGAATTTGCTCTCAGCCGAAGCAAGGACAGCGGGCCTGCAAGCCGTGCGATAGGCGCAAACAACAGCTGCGAAGCCGCTCGGCTTTGCCACACTGAGGGTGTCCTACTTTACTTGTAGCACACTCAGCACCCAACAAGTCCCTGAGCATGCCCCAAAGGGACCCACGGTAAACTTGCGACTCCAGAACTCGGCTGCTATGCTTGAACCAAGAGACCAGGCTGTTGCCTTCTGGCGTGATCATGCAAACGTGCCGGTGCACCGATCTATGCACTGGCCCGAACAACGCAGCAAACTTGTTTGGAAGGAGATCCTTGCTTGGGCTGGTGCTGACGCTCGCACCTTGAGGTGTTGGTGCTAACAGTAGCAGGCTTTTGCGCGGCTGCATCAATTGGTTTGGGCAAGTCGCTGCTTATCCCCGAAACACTAGTGCTTGTGATGCAATGCGGGCGAGCAAGCCGTGTCCAGCCCTCGCTCTCAGGGGGGAGAGTAGGGACGATTTGGGCAAGGAAGCAGGGAACCATGGTGCCTCACACGGGTGACTTGTTGGCGGACTTGCAAAGGATGACCGCTCCGAACCGACACAACCCGACGCCAGCCTGAGGTCCGTTTCGCTTGCTAAACCCGACCCTAAACTACACTCTCAACCTAAGCCTATGCCTAAACCCTAAACCTCAGCCCTGCATCTAAACCTCGCCTGCTTCCAACGCGTGGGATTGGTAGTAGTAGTAGTAGTAGTAGTAGTAGTAGTAGTAGTAGTAGTAGTAGTAGTAGTAGTAGTAGTAGGAGTAGTAGTAGTAGTAGTAGTGGTGGTGGTGGTGGTAGTTATTTCTACTACTACTACTACTACTACCACCACCACTACTACTACTACTACTACTACCACTACCACTACACTACTACTAGTACTACTACTACTACTACTACTACTACTACTACTGCTACTGCTACTGCTACTGCTACTGCTACTGCTACTACTACTACCCCTACTACCCCTGCTACTGCCTCCTTGCTTGCTTGCTTGCTTGCTTGCTCGCTCGCTTGCTCACTTACTCACCAGCCTACCTACCTACCAAACAACCAACTGACTATCTAAGTATCTAACTATCTAACCATCTAACCACCTAACTATCCAACTATCAAACTAACTAGCTAACTAGCTAACTAACTAACTAACTACTAGGTAGCCAACTATCTTACTAACTAGCTGCCACCATTCGCTCACTACATTCTTCATTAGAACCTACGCCTACCACTGCTCCGACAACTACCGCTACTGATAACATCACCCCTACTACCAGTATTACAACTGCAGCACCCAAGTACCACCACCAGCACTAGGCACTAGCACTGCCAGTGCCGTTACCACTGCCACTACTGCTATCTTTCCAGGAAAAAAAGGTATCATCGTTCTCGTTGCATAGTGAGAGTAGCGTTAGCAGTCATAGTAGTCCTGGCTCTGAAACTGTGACGGTTATGATGATGCACTACCAATGCTGTGTGTTGTTTGCTCCTGGTGGGTGTGTGATTGTGTTCTTGCACATGCAGTTTGTAGTGTTTGTTAATTTTTCTTCGTTGTTTCTCGGTGGAAGGTCAGACCGTACTAAGAAACGCAATGCACAAGAAGCATTGTGTTGCCGGATGCGGTGAATCAGTAGTTCCCCCCGCCCCCCCAGCTGCACGAATTGGTGATTGCGCGCTTGAAGCTGAAGCAGTATGCTTCGATTGAGAAGATATCGCAACATAATGTTTAGCATTTGCGAAGGACGCCTGCAAAGTTAGGCCATCACATGTCTGCAATCCATGCCTCTCAAGCTGTTGAATTGGTGCGTTCATTGTTGAAACAAATTCGTGTAGAATATGATTACGTATGTTATCCGTTGTATAACACTGTGCGCAGAGAGGCACACACCCCAGTGACTCAGTGGATACGGCTGAGTGTTTCAACATGTTTCTTCCAGGAGTCCATTTGCAGCCCGTGTGGTTGGTATGGTTCTAAGGTCTCAGAGGCGCGGCGAAGGAGGGTGGCTGTGGCAAGGGTAGGTCAAGCGCGTCATCCGACGCGTGGCCTTTGTGGTTTCCCTGCCAAGCTTGCATGCCATTGCAGCCCCGAACCTCAAGCCAGGCAGTCCAGAGAGAGAGAGAGAGAAGCTGTGCCTTCATTTGGTTTCGAACTTGCCGCACAGGTTTTGCTGTCACCAACACATGCACAGGAACGGTTTGCAACGTGTCGTGGAAGTGAGACACGCACCTTGAACAATCTCGAATTGCTTAGATGCGTATGATGAGTCCTTGGAGCCTTCGCAATCTCAACAGAACGACAGGGTGGTGGTCTTCCACACGACGAATCTACGAAGCGGCGGAGGGCATCAGAAGCAGCGCAGACCTTTCTGTATCGCACATCCATGCTGCCTGTCCAAGTAAGAGATGTTGAAACCAGGTGACTTAGTTGAAAACCATCTCCTTTTGTATCGAACGTTACATACCAGCCTGGGTGTGGATGTACACCATTTTATCACCAGGTGTTGATAACTGACATGCCTCTTGTTGAACCACCATAGTAGGTCCAAAATGGCGAGCTTTGGGACTGGCGCCAGCTAAGGTTGCAAAAGGGCAAGCATGGCTCAATGCAAATGCAGGGCGACGACTGCCCTCCTGTCAATCTTTGCTAGCAGCCTGGCAGCGGTGTCTGTCAAGTCTTGCTCAGCCTGTTGATGCGGTTGTCTGCTAATCTATTCCCTGTCACTATGACTTAACTGATGCATAGGACAAAGGGAAGTAGAAGCTAGTGCTTAAAGAGTGCCAACAGTCAAAGTTGTCCAACGTTTATCTTTAGTGGGATTTGGGCACAAGCTATGCGGAAGAATGTATATTCACATATTTAATGATCATTTACCCACAGCCCCCGTGGGTTGCCCGGCACCCCCACATGCGGCCCCGTCCAAGCGTCCACGTTTAGTACTCAAGTAGCAGAGCTCGAGTGGCCAGCGCAGAGCTGCGCCCTCTTCACAGCAAGGCACATACCTGGGCTTCCCCACCCCCCCCCCCCCGCCAAAAAAAGAAGTAACCTTAAAGAGACCCCTGGATCTGGAGTCCGGAGATCTTGTGGGCCCCAAAGGGGAAACCGTTTCTAGTTTGGACCTTCAGATCAAAGGTCGAAGCCTTTGAGCGCCCAGTTGAGATTTCGAAATACATGAAAAGATAACTTGGCGCAGTTGGTCTTTCTCCGGCGGAAGCACTTTCTACAACTCCGGACCCGTAAGCAGTCACAGATTCTGTTCAAAGGAGCAAACTGTCTACACAAACAGACCCCACTAATAAAGCGGGTCCAATGTGATGGAGTCGCTTGGAGTGCGATCAACATGGTGTAGGCATGTCGAAGGATAGCAAAGCAACGCAGCGCCGAGAGGCCTTCCGGCCAATTAGTTCACGTGCTTTTCGTCTGCTTTCTCGACAATTGAACAGCCTCCCCGAATCGGCCCAGCCGCTCAGGGCACGTCTTGGACCTTTCGGGTGCAACTAAAAGACATGAAGGCGGAGATGTTTTGCCTTTGTTAGTTCCTTGACACGAGCGTTGGCCTGTTTGTTAGTTGTTGGTGACAATGTGAGGTTGTTCAATGGTTTCTTTCTTTGCCCAAATAGCTGAACGCCAAAGGAGTTCTAACTTTTACAGAGGGGAAAAGAACATTGTGCAGTTTAGTTTGGGGTGCTAATCACGTTGTTGACGGTGCTGGTGCATTTTGCGAGATAGATGGCGGGGTGTTTGTGGGCGTGCAAATTGGGGTGCGGGTGCAGGTGTTGTTTTGGGGTTGTGTTTGGGGCTGCTCGAGGTGCTGGTGATGGTGCTCATTAAAAAAAATGGGCGGCAGGGCGCAGAAAGGGTGCTGTTTGGGGGTGCTGTTCGGGGTGACGGAGCGGGCTCATTTTGGCGAGATTGACGGCCGCCTAGCTCTTCGGGGGATGCTGTTAGAGGTGCTGGTGTGTGTGCAATATAATCATCCGCCTGTTTTTAGTTGCTTTGGGTCTCTGCTGGTGTGATTATATATATATAATATTTATATTTGTTTTTCGACCGGGAGCTAGGCCTGAACCAAGCGTGGCGGCGCAAGATACACAGTGGATTCTGCTGAGTTTCAACTCAGACAGAACATTGCGATTTCTGTCAGAAGCGAACATCTGCAAGCTTAAGTGCACCCATACCTGCCTGTTGAAGTTGGTTGGGTTGGGTTGGTTGTTCGTTGCTCGTTGTTGGTTGCTGGTTGTTCATTGTTTCTTTGTCGTTGGTGGTTGGTGGTGGTGGCGGTTGGTCGTGGTTGGTGGTGGTTGGTCGTGGTTGGTGGTGGTTGGTGGTGGTTGGTGGATGGTTGGTGGTTGGCGGCTGGGAGTTAGCGTTTGCTGGTTGCTGTTTCCTTGTTAAACGTTTATGCTCAAGGTTCAAAGTTCAATGTTCAATGTTGTGGTTGTTGTTGTTGTTGTTGTTGTTGTTGTTGTTGTTGTTGTTGTTGTTGTTGTTGTTGTTGTTGTTGTTGTTGTTGCAGTTGATGTTGCTGTTGCTGTTGCTGTTGCTGTTGTTGTTGTTGGTGGTGGTGGTGGTGGTGGTGGTGGTGTTGTGGTTGTGGTTGTGGTTGTGGTTGTTGTTGTTGTGGTTGTGGTTGTGTTTGTGGGTGTTGTTGTTGTTGTGGTTGTGGTTGTGTTTGTGGGTGTTGTTGTTGTTGTTGTTGTTGTTGTTGTTGTTGTTGTTGTTGTTGTTGTTGTTGTTGTTGTTGTTGTTGTTGTTGTTGTTCTTGTTCTTGTTCTTGTTCTTGTTCTTGTTCTTGTTCTTGTTCTTGTTCTTGTTCTTGTTCTTGTTCTTGTTCTTGTTCTTGTTCTTGTTCTTGTTCTTGTTCTTGTTCTTGTTCTTGTTCTTGTTCTTGTTCTTGTTCTTGTTCTTGTTCTTGTTGTTGTTGTTGTTGTTGTTGTTGTTGTTGTTGTTGTTGTTGTTGTTGTTGTGGTGTTTGTGTTGTGTTGTTGTTGTTGTTGTTGTTGTTGTTTGTTGTTGTTGTTGTTGTTGTATCT